ATATATATATATATAAGTCTTTGTTCTGTTCATTGGAACAGAAATAGTACAATTGATAGATAAACATGTAAACAGATTAAGGTTTTAATTTTCTTTAAAAAAAAAAAAGATTAATTGCATTAACTTGATTAAAAGTGACATGTAATATTACAAAATATTTTTATTTCAAATAAATGAAGTTCTTTTGAAATCTGAAGTGAAAATGTATCTCAGTGTCCACAAAAATATTAAGCAGCAACTATTTTCAACATTAATATACTCTAATAGCTGCGGTTCATTCAGAGCACAGGCAAATGAAAGCAAATAACCTAGGCAGAGAAAACAAGAGCTGTACCATGCTGTCTCCTCCTTCATACCTGACCACAGGCTCATTATCATCTGCAGATCTTGATAATGCTATGTAATTTTAGAAGGTTAATGTATGCCACATAGTCATGAAAGACTCCGTAATAACTAACCCACTGGTTATCGATCATCAGAGATCAATAAATACCTGCATGTTTGTTCTGGACTCGTCATCCATGTTTTCTTTGCTCTAAATGAATCATTTAGAGCGCTGTTACCGTCCTTGACCAATCAAAGTTAGCTACAGAGCAGAGTGGTACCTGGTCCCAGAGCTGATAAGAGTGCTGTGTAAACACACTATGGCTTTAGTGTACTCTGGTGATCTAATGGGAGGATATGTAGCCAATAATATATGTGCTCTGATGTGCCATCTGCAATGTGCACACGGGAACGCTTTTTAAGGAAATGATTGCCTCTGTGACAAAGCTTGTGTTTCGTTTTTTTTTCTTTGTGTGTGTAGTGTTTGGCAGTATTTGAAGTAGTTGTTGGTGTGTTAATGTTTGCCGTTGTAGTTTAAATAAATCTGTTGGCAGTTTCTCATACACTGACGGTAAAAGATTTGGATGCAACTGAAAAAACAATGTTTTTTCTTGAAATCGGTGTTAAATAAATTGGGCCAATCTACACTACCATTCAAAATGCTCACTAAGGCCACCTTCAAAAAATGTTAATATACAGTTTTGATTGTGAAACATTACAATTTAAAAATATCTGTTTCTATAATATATGGTTATCTATTTTAATATACTGTTATCAATGATGCTGCTTAATATTTTGTGAAAAATATTACTGTGATGTGTTGTCTTAACATTATAAATACCTTTACTGACTCAAACCTTTTGAACTTTTATTCCTGTAAATATACAGATATTTTATTTATTTATTGTAAATTGGTGAGGTTCAAAACAGTTTAAAAAGCATCCAAATTGGGTACCATGAAGTTGATTGAGCGAAAAAATTTAAAATTAAAATGAATGTTTTGATTGAACTTTTTGCTCACTACTAACTCCCATACTCCCATCCGTGTTTAATATTAAAAAAAAATTTATATTCATAGTTTTTATGACATTACTAGTATTCTAATATGTGGAAATAGTGTGTCCAATCTGTTGACTGGTAGTTTATGCTCACAGGTTTGAAGCAGAAAGTACAGTGTGAGCTATATTTGTAAGCCCAGCCTTTGTTTATAGAAGAAGTTCTTTTGTGCTTGATGAAAGACCATCAGTCACTAACCTTTACACCAGCTGTATCAATAAAAGAGAGAGATAAGGGCAGCTTCTTAGACACTAGACTGTTCAATAAGTCTTCTTGCAAAGGTTTGGCCACTTCTTTATAGATTTATACATGCTGAACAGTTCTTATTTGCTGGGGTATTTCCCTGTCCTTTAAGTGACGTGACGTGGCCAAGTATGGTGACCCATACTTGGAATTAACTGTGTTGCCTACAGCAAGATGAAACCGGCTAGTGGTGGATGAGTTTGGTGTAAAAGTAATTGTCAGGTGAAGTGCCGGCACAGTATGAATATACCCATCTTGTGTGTCGAATTACCAATTATATTTGCCCACATTGTTCGGCTTCAGAAAAGGCCGAAATCTAATTTCCCTGCTCTTGCTGGTATATTTTGAATCCCTTTTCATTGCAGCCCATATGACCCATGAAGAAATTTAATATAGAGTATGTTTCTCAACGACCTGTTATGTAATTGAACTACTGGGATCGTACTGATGGAGAGCAGAGGTCAGGAAAGGTATTTCTTCAGCTCTGAATTTCAACGCCCGCAGTGTGCCCGGAGGACTATGATTTGATTGCCTCCAAAGCGTCTTGTGTGCCATACAGAAGCCAATACCTCTGAGAAGCTGACAGTTTTGAAGTGGCCAAACAACGTCGGGATGCTGTATGGAGCCTGGAAATGAGTCCCTGTGTAGTGGTTTTCCTCTTCAAGTCATAATCAAGTCAAAACAGTCTGGTTTTTGTCCCTCAGACTAGCAGCAGAATGACTCCTCTACCGCCATCCACGGCTTCGCAAACAGCCGCCTGTGGAGGGTTGCGCGAGGCAACATATGTAAATCCTGAGGAGATTAAAGGAGCCCTCAGGATAGTTTTAGTATTTCACTGCCTTTCTCGGTTTCGCTACAAAAGATTCTCCCGGCGGAGCTTTTCTCGCACGCTGCATACTAAAGGCAGAAATTGAGATTGCGTTCCTAAAACACCCTGTTCTGAAGTTGCTGATTTGCCTGCAAAACTTTCCCATCAGTGCCAAGTATATCAAAGGAGTCTTTGAAGACCAGCTATTTAGAACATAAGCACCTTCTGGGCCAAACCTTCTTAAGTGAATTGTTATATATTGCAATGACAAGGCGCCAACAGCGCTCTTGTGTCGGTCTTTTCTCAGCTCTCTAGTTTTTACAAGCTTTACGGTCTTAAAGTTGGTGCTGCACCTTGTGATTCACCGGCCCTTGTTTTTGGGTGCCTCGCAACTCCACCGGCAGTTCCTCTTTGCTTCATACAGGTTGTAATTAGTTTTGACTAGCATCTCTGCGACAGCCAGCAGACAGTCAATGGCCAGAGCCATTATTGTGAGCACGGCTCTCTCTCACTGTCAGCTCCGCATTATGGAGTCTGGGAGACTATGAACTTATTTCCCCTGCAGGCTAGGTGAAATGGAGGACATCAGTTCAGAGAGCAACTCCCCTTGCTTTTTTGAGAGCCCACAAATACATCAAGCCTCCACCCGTGGAATGAAGGACTCAAATAATCTGATTTCAAATGATTGAGTGTCCAAGAGTTTAAAGAACCCAGCGAATATTGAGCCCCCTCAGTAATATTGTGAAGTTCAAAGGGACTGTAAGGACATGCACATGCCTCACAAACTCCATAGTAGTTTTCAAAAATATATTATTATACCGATAGTGCCAAACTATAGAGCCAGTATATGCACATGTGAATTGTGAAAACACATTGGTTGCATTCTGTGCCTGGTTACTGTGTAGTTTGAAAAGCCTAAATTTAGGCTAATAAACTATATTACTTGGTGGTAACACTCTCAGAATATTTTTTTTTTTTCCTTTTATATACATTTAAATGGCAAGTTCAGTCAGGTGTTTCATTCAGACCCATTGCCACAGGTGAATAAATTCAAGCACCTAGCCATGCAGTCTGCATTTACAAACATTTGTGGGGGGAAAAAGGGTAGTTTTGAGGATACCTTTGAATTCAATCATGGTACTGTTATAGGATGTCTCCTTTGCAAGTCAGTTTATGAAATGTCATCCCTGCTAGATATTCCACAATCAATTGTAAGTGTTATTATTGGAATATCAGCACAAAAACTGAGAGCTTCATGGAGTGGATTTCTTTGGCTGAGCAGCTGCATGCAAGCCTTGCATTACAAAGTACAATGCCAAGAGTCGGATGGAGTGGTGTAAGGCCGGTTTCACACTGCCACCATGAGCAGCCCATATATATACAGGTGCATCTGAGTTGAATTACTGAAATAAATTAACTTTTCCACGACATTCTAATTTATTGAGAGCACCTGTATATATATTTTTTTTGGCGTCCATGTTAACAAATGAGAGCATTCACACCAGGAGAAGGAGCATCGCATGAGCAGCACTGATGCAATGGTTTCGGTGCCTAGTCTAAATTAGTGTGTTATGAAGTTTAGAGTGATTATGTTGTAGTCTGTAATAAACTACCATTTAAAAGTTTGGGGTTGGCAAGATTTTTTATGTTTTTGAAAGAAAGCACTTATGCTCACCAAGGCTGCCATTATTTGATAAAAAATACAGTAGTGTTGTGAAATATTATCACGGTTTAAAATATCTATTTTCTATTTGAATATATTTAAAAATGTATCTTAAATATATTTTTAAATGTATTCCTGTGATGCAAAGCTGAATTTTTTGCCAGTCACATGATCCTTCAGAAATCATCAATTAGATCAATTTAATATATCCTTACTGAATAAAAAACCTTTATTTCCCTTAATAAAATAGAGGTAATGTAATCTAATTGTGATTTCAAAGTTGTTAAGTCTTAGTCATCGAGACCATCAGTAAAATCTTACCACAAGTAATAGTTGTACACTGAGAGACAATGAGATCTAACCATCTAATCTGTCTTTAAATAGACCTCTCAGGTTAAGATGGATTTCCTAGACAAACAACTCCTCAATCTTGACCGTTTTTTTGCACAAAGTGACAGGTTATTTTTTTTGTTCGTTTGTTCTGTCTGCTTATTTAAAACTCACTGCAAATTCAGCAAAATGTTTGTGTTAGGCTCTCGTGTATGATTGACTTATGTTGGCTGTTTTTCTTTCTTTTGTCATTCTAGCATTTGTGATATACAACTTCCTGAGTCTGTCTTTTGAGTACCTTGGAGGAGAAAGTGCCATCATGTCGGAAATAAGAGGAAAGCCTATTCAGTGAGTGTCTTTACATTTACATTTAAGGCATGATAAGTGTTTCCTATGTAAAGGCTGCCCCAAATTGTAGACCATTAAATTATGCTACCAATTTAATATTTATGCTGCCACTCTGTAACTCATTTAGGCAAAGTTCTAAGAAAGCATCACATATATCCAGCATGGAGAAGGAAGTCCCACACCAAATAAATATGATTTCACACACACAAAAAATGCACAGAATAAGTATGTCTAGTGTGTTTTAACAAGAATTGGAGTTGTCAGAGAAGAAAATGAAGAATCCAAAATATGTACAGAAGATTTACCCATTTAAACTTGTTTTTAATTGTTCAGTTTGGGTGAAAGTATGGTGTATTATATTTAAAAAAAAAAAAAAAACATTATTTAGCAGCACATTGTAAATCGAAGTATGACTGAAATGACATGATCAGAGCTGTTTTTGTTGTGTACCATTTACATGTGAATACTATCAAGAAATTTCAAATTTATAAATGAAAACTTCTAAACAAATTTATAGTTGTCTTTGTAAAGAAATATGTAGCTTTGGTGCTGCTGCTGTGACGCTGTACAAACACTTCCAGCGTGAATGCTCTCGCAAGTCTGCAGCTGCAGTGACGATGTAGTTATGTTGACGTGAAGCTGATGTGAATCCAGCATAAAGCACGCTGCCACTGGACTCTGGAGCAGTGAAAACCTGTTCTGTGGAGTGATGAATCTGTTTGGCAGTCTGATGGGTGAGTCTGGGTTTGGCCAATGCCAGGAGAATGTTACCTGCTTGACTGCATTGTGCCAACTGTATGGGGCTGCTTAATTCCAGTGAAGGGAAATCAATGCTTCAGCAAACCAAGACATTTTGGACAATGCATTGCTTCCAACTTTGTGGGAACAATTTGATAAAGTTCTAAGAAAGCATCACATATATCCAGCATGGAGAAGGAAGTCCTACAAAATACATAGTGAAGAGCTTTAGGAGAATATAAATACAACATGTTGGACAACGCTGGCAAAAATTTCATTAACATGCACAGGACATAATTAAACTCGATTCTCATGAAGCTCCTCTGGAAGAATGATGGTCGTCATCTTTTGAATTTTGTTGTCATCACTCACATGACCACCATGACTCAATGTGTTCGAGAATACATGCTAACCTCTAGGTTAAGAAACAAAATGTTCTATTTCTAAAGAGTTTGTGCAAAATAACTTTTTTTTTTTTTTTTAAGAGATTTTTGAATTTTGTTGTCATCACTCACATGACCACCATGACTCAATGTGTTCGAGAATACATGCTAACCTCTAGGTTAAGAAACAAAATGTTCTATTTCTAAAGAGTTTGTGCAAAATACCTTTTTTTTTTTTTTAAGAGATCATTTCATCTGTCCTCAAGAATAGCATCACCTTTCAAATGTTCCTTTTCATTTGCCTTTAACAGGTCTAGTTGCCTGTATGGGACATGCTGTTTGGTAGGAATGAGTTACTCCATTGGCTTCCTGAGATTCTGCAAGCAGGTTTGTTCCCATTTTTCTTTCAAATCAGAATTACTTTTTCTTCACAGCAACATTTTTCATAACATTTCTTTGTTTAAACATTTTAAAAACCCTAAAATATTCAGCTTATTTCCAGTGGAGTCCAAAAGTATGAGACCAAATTGAAAATCTGGAAATCAGCCGAACATTTTAGGATTTTATTATGTCTCATGTCCCATTCTGTTTTGAGTACAAATGGCCCAAAAAGACATGGTTAAATGAGTTTGGTGTGGAAAAACTTGACTGACCCTCACAGAGTCCTGACCACAACTATGTCAAACACCTGGGATGAACTGGAACTGAGTTGGCGAGCCAGGCCGCCTTGTCCAACATCACAGACTGACCTCACAAATGCTGTGGATAAATGGGCAAAAATTCCTACATCAGCACTCCAAAATCACATTAGGTGGTGGTATTGAACCTTAAAAAAAGATGACAACGCTGTAGCTAATGCATGTATTGTTTCTTAACAGCTAGTGATGTTAAAAGTTATTTTGAAGTATATAGCTGTTAAACAGCTTTGTTTGATTTGTTCTGTTAGCTGTCCATACACCGTTATAGACTTTGTAAATTTCCTACCATAAATATATCAAAACTTAATTTTTTATTAGTAATATGCATTGCTAAGAGCTTCATTTGGCACCCTCAGATTCCAGATTTTCAAATAGTTGTATCTCGGTCAAATATTGTCCTATCCTAACCTAACAAACCATACATCAATGGAAAGATTATTTATTCAGCTTTCAGATTATGTATACATCTCAATTTCGAGAAATTGACCCTTATGACTGGTTTTGTGGTCCAGGGTCACATATGTAAATGACATGAATACGTTAGTAAGAGGGTTTGAATTTCTGTGACTTTCTGTCTCCTCAACCTTTATCTACCCTTTCTACCTGAATTGTCACGAAGTGGCAGCTGTTATCTTTGTACCATTGTCTTTCCCGAGGAGCTCCAGTGGTTAAAGCAGGATTAAAAACAGGAGGAAGCAGGTGCAAGTCACTCGATAATAAACGCAAAAAATAGCTATTGCCGCCAGCCTGATGCTGTCTGCGCGGCAGCTGAGGAACCCGCTCGCACTTTGAGAATAATACTGATGGAAATTGGATTTGAGAGCCCCGTCCTCACAAAGACTGAAAAGAATGTGAATTGAACTTTTTTTAATAGCAAGTAGAATTTCAAAACACATAAATCTGTCTGACCAGACACCTACATGTAGGACTCTTCAAAGCATCACCTTGCGGTATACCAGACTGTAGCGGAGACGGAGCATGCTTTGATTATTTTGCGACGGCTTTTCTCACAGACCGCTTCGATTTAAAACTTGAATTGCACGTTGATGTTTCAAGCAGTCGATTCCGCCTTGCATGTAGCGAGATTGGGGGAAAATTCTCCTTTGTGTCATTCTCAATGAGTGGATTTGTCAGTCATGTCAAACTTTGTGTTGATTATGTAAGAAATAAGCACTTCCTGTCAAAAATAAGCATGCAACATTACCATGCCTTTGAAAGTGATGAGGACTGGAAGTTCTCTATCACTCAAACTATATTACAGGCCCATGTTGACTAAATGGAACCGGCGTAAAAACTAAACCATCACCGTTGCTCATCTGCTTCTGTTACATCATCTAGGCCACACTTCAGTTCTGTGTCGTGAAGCCCATCATGGCTGTCATCACCATCCTTCTGCAGGCTTTTGGCAAATATCACGATGGAGATTTTAAGTGAGCCATCCTGTGATTCATTCCATTTCATCTCATATCAACATTCCATAATAACATCTGTTTTTTTAAATGAACTGTTTTACTCTGTCATGTCTTTTCATATAGTGTAACAGGAGGTTACCTTTACATCACCATCATCTACAACATCTCTGTCAGTTGTGCTCTCTATGCCCTCTTCCTCTTCTACTTCGCCACCAGTGACCTTCTGAGACCTTTTGAGCCTGTGCTCAAATTCCTCACCATCAAATCCGTCATCTTCCTCTCCTTCTGGCAAGGTTGGTTACATTGTGTTATATGTTCAGACAGTATTCATCTCAAGCTGTTCATTGACACATGAAACGTTTTCTTTGAATATTGTTGTGGACAAGCCAGGAACTTGGAGTCAAGTTTCTCACTGCAGATTTTTTTGGTTTGTCTTTATTTAGGTATGGTATTGGCCATTCTGGAGCGATGTGGTGTGATCCCAAAAGCTCTGGTCATTGATGGTCATGAAGTGGGGGCTGGTTCAGTGGCAGCTGGTTGGCAGAACTTCATCATCTGCATCGAAATGTTCTTCGCCTCCATCGCCCTCCGCTACGCCTTCACCTCCAGTGTGTACCGCGAGAAGAAGAGTGAAGCACCAGGTTAGATCCTCATAAATTTGACACATTGATGGTCATGAAGTGGGGGCTGGTTCAGTGGCAGCTGGTTGGCAGAACTTCATCATCTGCATCGAAATGTTCTTCGCCTCCATCGCCCTCCGCTACGCCTTCACCTCCAGTGTGTACCGCGAGAAGAAGAGTGAAGCACCAGGTTAGATCCTCATAAATTTGACACTTCGGAAAAACAAAGCAGAACTTTATAACTTTTTGTTTAGAGGAAAAGTTTGGAGGATCTTAGAAACATGCCACAGCAAGCTTTTATGAGGCAACTGGAAGTTGTCTTCCTCAGGAGGGTTATGACTCACAGTTCAGAGGACTGCTGGAAAGCTCCACTCTTAGACACAGATCATCAAAATAACTCCTGTGTGCTGAGAAACTCAGACCTGTGGCAGGTCGAATGATGCCATTTCACTTGAAAAATTAGGAAATGAAATCTTCAGCAGGTGGTTTCTTGGCGCAAAACTTGACGACAATTTCAAGGAATAGTTCACTTAAAAATTACAATTCTGACATTCGCCCCTATGTTGTTTGTTCGCAGAATAGGTGTCATGATATCAGATTTTCACTACGCAATTATCGTGGCTTAAAGAATTCATATCGCCACAATATCTGTAGAAATTTTGGAGGAAAAAAATAATGCTATCAGTCAAATTCATCTTATGTTTTCTTTCTTTTTTTTCCACTTAAAATCACTCAAAAGACTTGATTTTGAGAGAATCGCACTCACAAGAGTTTGTAACCTCCTCTGACATGATTTTGGTGAACCACTCCTTCTTTGGACATTTAATGTTAGGTGGCAGCCAGTGTTAAGGTGCAATAACACCACCTATTGCGTTGGAGTGTCAACCAGACAAACTGCCAGTTACTGCCACTGGAATATTTATAATATTAATGTATGTGTAATACTAACATAAAATCAATATTTCATTTTATTAAATATCACAGTTATCATCAACTGCTGTATATTACAACACCCCTAGTTCACAGAACATAAAAGGATCAATTTTGAAGAATGTTTTCGCAGCTCTTTCTAATACAATGGAAGCAACAGGAACCATTATCAGTAAAAAAAATTAATAAATCCATAAAAGTAGTCCATATGTCTAGCACACTATATTCTAAGTCTTCCCAAACCATACAATTGCTTTGTGCAACAAAACGACTAAAATTTAAGTTGTTATTTGCTAAAAATTCTCCAAATGAGGGTTAGGACTTGTAAATGACGTCACGTGTAAAAGCCATTCTTTAATGAAGTCATACAGGTTGAGAACAAACACGAGTCATTGCCTGTTTGCACCTTGTCACTTCATGATCGGATAGCTATCCCATCGTGAAAAGACCTTGTGTAAATGCCCTCCGAAATGGTTTTGAGACGCATTTAAATCCGATCACTCAAACCACTTCAGGAAGTGATCTAAGACGCATTCCAGACGAAAACAAGACCGGTGTAAATGCATAAGAGCGTGTTATAGGCTATATGACGTTATAGTCCGATATGACTGCTGTAATGCTTCGAGCATCCTCGCAGATGAGTAGCTAAGTATTTGCTGATGGGCAAACTGCTGCAAATGAAACTAAAATATCCAAATAAAATAAAGCGTATATCTGTTGCTTTCGTTGACATGAACTTAAATTTGCGCATAGTGCAGGAATTGAAGATCAGATTTATATCTATTTTGCAGAGACACATTTATGTGGCCAAGTGTAAATTAAACCATTTTAACCAATCAGATATCCCTAAAAACACATAAGTGACCAGGTGTAAACAGGCCCTATGACAGAATTCTGATTGAAACGTTTAATGTTGCATATCATACCCTTTTACATACTCCTTTTAATAGCAGTATGTGCTGTGCAGAAAGCAGTCTGCTTGTATATCATTCTGATCATATCCTCAGGGCTACAAAAGCCTCTTCACGCTTAGTCATTAGTCATATTCTGCCGCTTGTGCTTTTCAAGGTGGTGAAGAATAGTTCTGTTTCAATTTCCACCAGTTTAAGCTGTAATGTCAGTTCAGCTGCTGAATGTTAAAAGCTGCATTAGATTTGTGTTCTGACTTCAAGAGGCCTCCATGAAATATAACTCGACTGTCAGTCAGATATGCATGTTTCAAGCCTTGTGTCAGTTCGAATGTTAATATTCTATGAAGTCTTTTTTCACAGAAAGCGCATTGGAGCACACTGCTTAACAGTTGTTGGCATGGCTATGTGAGAAAACCTACAAATGTGTTAAGAACCCTTCACCTTACTGGCATATGAAGGCATGGTGGTATTTTCCATAGTTTAACACAGAGCTCAAAGGGTGAAGTCACTGCTGGTTTCATAACCTTTCACTGGTGAAAAAAGCTCACGACTGTCGTGAAGCCTGTTAGGCAGAGCAACCTTCTAGGATGGCCTTTTCTCCCAAGCGGCCCAGCTGTGAAGAAGTTCAGGACAGTTTTCTCATCCTGAGTTTTCACCCTCCACCCATGAGGGCCGAAACGTCCCAAAACGTCCATCCGTTCACACACCGTACAGTTCTCAGGCCGGCAGCTGGAGACCTACAAGCACGGTTCGAGTATTTCTCGAACTGGAGGTCAGAAACTTGCACCCCTCTTGTGGCAGCCTGCCGTCACCTTTGTCCAAGCTCTCATCCATCAGCCACAAGGCAAGATGCAGTTAGCTGGAACTCAACATTTTGCCGTGTATCAGGCTGTACTCTGTAACCTCATTTAATGCATCCACAGCTGAGACAAATCTGGGAACTGTGGGATTGTGAATTTCTTTCCTGGCCTCTCCAGCCTGTAGTAGATAAATGAAGCAGAAGAACCACATCCTGGTTTCTATTCTGCGAACAGCTGGGTTGGACCTTGGCGGTGCCCGTGGTGATGTGCTCACAAGAGTGAGGATAATGGCAAGTTGTTTAATTACAGTAGGCAATTTGCTCTGGAATTATTACAGGGGTTGTGTGAGAAAAACACAGACTTGGCAGATTCGGTCGGGATTTAAGGTATAGTTCACCCAATAATGAAAATTCTGTCATTAATAACTCTCCTTCATGTTGTTCCAAAACCATAAGACCTTTGTCCGGCTTTGAACACCGATATTTTTGATGAAATCCAAGAGCTTTCTGACCCTCCATAGACAGCAACACAAAACGGACACGTTCAAGGCTCAGAAAGGTAGCAAGGACCTCATTAAAATTGTCCATGTGACATCAGTGGTTCAACCTTGATTTTATGAAGCTACGAGAATACTTTTTGTGCGCAATGAAAACAACAGTAATTACTTTATTCAACAATTTCTTCTTTTCTGTCAGAATTCGTTGCACGTTCATGACAGTACCACAACGCATGCGTGTGCATTCCTCTTTTTGCAAACAAGCCACAGCACATCTGGGTTCTACGTCAGAACGCCGGCTCCTGCATCAGCAGCACCATACGCATGCATCTCTGTACTCTTGTGAAAGCGTGACAAAGACTGACACAGCAGAGAAGAATTGTTGAATAAAGTTATTTTGTTTTCTTTGCGCACAAAGTATTATTGTACCTTCATAACATTACAGTTGAACTGTTGATGTCACATGGACTATTTTAACGATGTCCTTACTACCTTTCTGAGCCTTGAATGTGTCGGTTGCGTTGCTGTCTATGCAGGGTCAGAAAGCTCTCGGATTTCATCAAAAATATCTTAATTTGTGTTACAAAGATGAACGAAGATCTTATGTGTTTGGAACGACATGAGGGTGAGTAATTAATGACTGAATTTTGATTTTTGGGTGAACTAACCCTTTAAAATCGCAAAGCATGTCTGTGAAACACAAATTTCTCTAATGACGCCCTGGAAAACTAGTCCTGTCTGATTAGGGCTTAAGTTGTTATATGTATTTTGTGGGAGTCCCACAAGTCATTTCTTTCTCTTGCTTTCTGCTCACAGATGAATATTTTCCCTCCTGATTCAAAACTTGACACGCACTGGCCAGGTCCCGCAGGAGTACAGACCTTTACATTAGACAAGGGCTCAAATGTTGACCCCAGTATATAGTTATGATGTCATGGGTTTTAATAATGAGGCTGTGTGAAACTGCCGCTTATTTCCTTTGTGTTTTGGTTACATCAATCTCAAGTTTCTTGCCTTTCCAAGTTCTGGTAGTACAAAAACATTCGTATTTGCTCATTTAAAGTCTCCGATGTCATCGGAAATATGTCATGTGATATTTGACGCTTTAATCTGTTGTTTCATTTTGTTTTTGTAGAGAATGTAGCACCTATGCACAGCATATCCAGTGGCCTGAAGGAGACCATTAACCCTGGAGACATGGTTCAGGATGCAATCCACAACTTCTCTCCAGCTTACCAACAGTACACACAGCAGTCCACCCAGGAAGTAGTGCAACCCAACATGAATGGCAAACCAGGGACCAGCACCTCCAAGAGTTCGAAGAAATCTGATAAAGTGATGCTGATCGACACGGATGATGAGTTCTAGTGCCCCGTCTGTCCTGATCTATCTAT